GAGGGGCGGGGCGTGCGCGCCGCGGCACCAATAGGAAGCGGGTGATCTGCATACCGCCCGAACGGGGCGGCAGGACGCGGTTTTCCGCCCCGCCGCCGCCGCTACGGGCGCGGGGTGAGGGGTGGCGGGGTGGGGAGCCCACGCGAGTAGGCGAGCCGAGGTGGGAACGGCGTCGGCGCCCCTCGCCCTCACCCAGGGGCGGGGCGGCGCGGGTGGGGCCTGGCGCGGGCCGCATGCTCTGCAGTGATTTCAGCTCTTTTAGTATTTGTCCAGCAGGTTTCCCGCCGCGCGGGAAGCCTCACCCAGTGGTGTCAATGGCAGGGGAAGGCGGGGCCGCGCATGCGTGCGGGGGGGCGCAGGGTGGGAGCGGCTGGGCCCCCGATGGCGGTCTCGGCGCAGGCGGCGGCGCTGAGCGCCGAGCAGGCGAAGGGTGAGTGAGGGGAGGAGATGGCGGCGGCGGGCGTGTGTGCCGGGCGGGCTGGCAGCCGTGTGCCCGTGTTCCCGCAGCGGTGCTGGCGGAGGTGATCAAGGCCTTCGGGGCCCCCGAGAACGCGCAGCGGATGGAGGAGGCTCGGGATAACGCCTGCAACGACATGGGCAAGATGCTGCAGTTCCTCCTGCCCGTCGCCACCCAGATCCAGCAGGACGTGATCAAAGCCTACGGCTTCAGCAACGACGGCGAAGGTGGGTTGTCGTTCCCCCGGTGGGTTGTTGTTCCCCCGCCGGGCGGGGAGCTGCGGGCCCGCCGAGGGGGCGGGTGCCTCCTTCCCAGCCCTTTTCTTGCAGGGGTCCTGAAGTTCGCCCGGTTGATCAAGTCCTACGAGTCGCAGGACCCGGAGATCGCCAGCATGTCGGGCAAGCTCAAGGCCATGTTCCTGCCGCCCATGACGCTGCCGCCGCACGGGGCCGGGACCGGCGGAGTGGCAACCTCCTGAGACCGTGGGCCTCTCCGGCTGGGTCACGGTGCGCTGGCTGGTGGCCTCCTTCCAAGGTGCGGGTTCTGTCAGCCAGGGAACGGAGCCCTTGGAACAAGGGAGATGGCTGACCGGAAAGGAATGGGATGCTTTGCGCCTGCCTGTGTGTCTGCTCGTGAATAAAAAAATGTCTCGAAAATGCCCTCGTCTTGTGAATGAATGTGAGCTCAGCAGTGCTCCTCGGACACAGATGTTTCTCCCTGGTGCAGAGGCAGACACAGCAGTGCTCACCTCGTGCCTGGTATGACACCCAGGCTAGTGTTTTGAGAGGCCCAGGATGTACCAAGTTCTGCAAAAAGGTAATTGTTTATGCAAGCCTGAGTGGGAAGCCCTAGGACTTGATATCAAAGTGACTTAACTTTTTTAACAGTTCAGAGGTGCTAGGCCCTGTCTAAGAGCAGGCATTTACAAACGTGCTCTTTGAAACATGCTAGGAAACACGTCCCTGAACACGATCTAGTGCTGTTCAGCAAGTGCTGTAAATGCTGCTGAGACGCCTGTCCCCAGCAGGGTCGGTGCAGCTAACTCACGCCTACCGCCAGTGCCCGGGGCTGCGTTGTTTTCTGGCTGAATGTGCAATCAAACACGTTAGCCCTGATGAAAAAGGCAGCAGGGAGCGGCACGGTGTGGGAGGGCTGGGCTTGCCCTGTTTGGCTGCAGCCTGGATCAGAACAACGTAAACAACATAAAATTCTATCTTGAGTCTTTTGGGACTGAAGAGAGACGAACCTAGGGCAGCAGCCTCGTTCCAGTGTGACGCTTTGTGTTTTCGACTCGATTCAAATGAAGGGACGTCGGATACGTCTGCGTGTAGCCTCCCGCCTTGCGTGCCTGTTGCCCTTGGAAGCGCTGAGGTCTTCGGGGAGGGCGATGGGGGCCAGGGTGGCAGGGCTGGGGGTGAAGAAGCCAGGCCTGGGAGAGCGGGGAGCTGGGAGCCAGGTGTGAGAGAGCCGAGTCCGGTGCCTTTCGGTTACAAACCAGGCAGGAATGTAGCCAGCGAGGGCGTGAGCTCCGTGGATAGGAGGCAGGAAGAGCAGTCAGTCCCTTCCGTCTCCATCTACCTCTCCCAGCTTGGCCTTGGCCTTCCCCCACCCCTCTAATTATTCATTAACTACAGCCCAGGAAGTGCTTTGCAAATGGTGAAAATTAAGCCCTCGGCTTGAGGCCTGCGGTTTGCCTGACCTGGAGCTACCTTCTTCTTAGTCCGCCTAGGAACAGGCGGAGTTCAGGACCGTGCCCGTGCGGATCAGACACAGGTGAGTCACGGGAGGTGCTGCAGCCCCCCAGCGCTGCCCGCTGCTCCTCCGGAGCCGGGCACTCACCGCCGTGAGCATCCAGCCCCGTCCGCAGGGTGCGAGTCCACCCCTCCTCTGTCAAGGTTCTTTGGTCTCTCTCCCAAGTCCGTCTCGAGATGCTGTCTTGATAATTCCAATATTGCTTTATTTTCTTCAGTAGGACCTGCTGGTTAAGGGCTGTGGTACTCCTTCCACCGGCTGCTGTCAGTCCCCCATCAGTGGGGATCTGAGAGTCGAGATCCTGATGCCATCCTGTGGGTGAGTGCTGTGAATGCTAGTTAGGGGAAGAAAACAAGAGTTGTTGGTGAGAAAAATAAAAATACTGGCGGCAGGAATTGGGCACAGAAGGGAAAAACCCCACCTTCTAATAGGAGCTACAGGATAGCTGGAGGACTGGAGTTCACGGTGTTTTAGATTGCTGTTGCTGTTATCCTTGCTCCTTTTCACTTTGATAACGAGCGGGCAGGGTTCGCGGTGCCCAATCCACCACAGTTACTCTGCCAGCCCCACAGCTGCAGCATCTCTGAATGTTTTTATACAGAGAGAGGTCAGGCGGCTGACCTTTTAAATCCTGGTTGTTTCTTGATTCGCTACAGTCTTTCTAGCCCTTTATGGAACAGCAGGACGTAAAATCTTCAGCATCAGTCCAAACGGGTGCTCTGCTCTGGAGACGACAGTGGCATGGTGTAAGGAAATGGGATTCGCACTAGCATTACTCTGTGGTAAGGATCTGGGCAACTGCAGTGGTCCAGCACGGTCCTGGGGTCCTGTGGCCTGACAGAGAGCATCTGGCTTGGGCAAGTCACAGGAAGATGGTCCATCTGCCCGTTCCCCAAGCCCAGATGGCTGTCGCTCTGCATTAACAGCTGAACTATAACGCAGTTCTGTGCAAAACAGCAAAACCTCCTGTCTAAAATCATCTCAGTGCTGACAATTAGAAGTAACAAATGCAGTGCTGATTCTCAAAAAGGGCTCCAAATGAGACCCCCCAAATGCCAGGATAGCACAGAACAGTAAAGTTGGTATCTGGGCAAGAAGGTAGACAGTGTAATGGAGAAAGCAATGATTGTGATATTAAAGAAGGAGTCAGCATCTGCTTTTGTAAAGACAAATCCTATCTTGTAAAACTGGAGTTTTTGGAGGGACTTAGCAAGCTCGTGGGTAAGTCAGTCAGGTCTGGCTGATACAGTTTCCTTGGATTTCCAAAAAATAATTTGACAAGATTTTCTCCTCAAAGTCTTTAAATAAAGCTAAAGTCATGGCATAAGAAGGAAGATGAAGTTTTTCTTGGGTAAAGAATTAGTAGAAAATAGGAAATGAAAGGTGAGAATACACATCCAGTTTTTATAGCAAAGGGAAGACATCGGTGGTCAGATCACAGGGGCCTAACCTGAAATATACACTGTTCAGTATATTCCCAAATGACCTGGGAATAGAGCCTGGTGAGGTGAGAAAATTGGCTGATGGTAGAAACTTATTCAGGGTAATAGAGTGGGAGTTGACTATGAATAATTGCAGAAGGATCTCATGATAATGAATGTATGGGCAATAGAACAGCAGATGCAATTCCGTCTAGGCATATGTAAAATAATGTTCATGCAGAAAAATAATTCAAAATTTACATATAAAACAACGAACTGTGAACTAATCGTAACCTCTCTGGAGGAAGACTGTGATCATATATAAGTCCGTGCAATTAGCTTAATGCTCGGTTGTGGTGAACAAATAGCAGAAATCGTCACTGGCTCTGTGTATATCCATGACTCACCAGCATCTTGAACACTGCAGTTCTGTGCCACCCTTCACTCTTAGCTCCAAAACAATACACCAGAGTTGGAAACATCTCAGAGAGGGACAGCAAAGATGACCAGAGGTGTAGAATGGTTCTGTACGAAGAACACCTTAATAGGGTTGGAGTCTTCAGCCTGGCAAAGAGCTGAAGAAGGCTATGGACATTACAGGTCCATATCATGAGCAGCTTGGAGGGGGTGAACAGGAATCGGTCATTGATTTTTCTTTCTTTACAACAACCACTTTTCCTGATACCTAATCAGAATGTGCCTTGCTGCAAGTTATGCCTGTTGCCTCTTGTCCTTTTGCTGTGTCCCACAAAGAAGAATCTGGCTCATTGCCTCTAAAACCCCCAGTCCCCCTTTAGGTGGTCTCAGACAGCTGTTAAATCCCTCCTGAAGCATATTTTCTCCAAGCTGAACAAACCCAGCTTCCGCCATCTCTGCTGTGCTCCAGGCTCTTCACTGCCTTAGTGGCCTTATGCTGGACTCTGTCCACTTTCTCAGTGTCTTTTTTACAGCAGTCCAGATGTGGGTGTCTTTCAATTAGCTATTTCATTTATCTTCTCCTCTAAATTTGTTCCTGTGCTAGCTGTGGCTTGGGTCCACAAAGGATTTACAAGATGAGGTTCCACCACCTGTGCTGTACTGGAAGCCGAACAACAGCATAAGAGTAGTCTCTTTGCTGAAATGTCTTGACCTGTTAATTGTATTAAGAAAGTATTTTAGCAGCTCAATTATAGTCTGTTGTTCCATGCTGCAGCCGTTTGGGAGAGCAACCCCAAAGATACCAACCAATTGCTTCTCTACTGTGATATTTCCCTCCCTTACCAGCAGGAGCTCCTTCCTGGTAGGTTTTAATTAGATGGCCCGCATCAAAGACCCAAAGCAGCTATGTGCATCCAGTCCTTTCCTGAGCTGAAAGCAACCAGAAGCATAAATTCATCCTGTAAATTATGTGTCTTGGGCTTTGTATCCACACAAATACTGACATGTGGGTTACACTGCACCCCGTGTCCTGCTGGAGGAGACTGAATTACACGTGTTTAGTGCTAACTCACCCTTTGTGTTCTGATCTGGGCTCTTTGCTACCGTGTTCTTTCCCTGTTCACCTGTGTCTCACTAATGTTCTCTTCCTCAGATTCTCTCCTTCAGCCAGTTCATAAGGTGTGGGGATGCCTCAGTTGTTTTATTTTTTTGTCTGCCATGGCTTTGTATCGACCCTACATAGTCTAATATTGCTTTGATATCAGGGATTCTTTTTTGGGACTTCTGCCCAGAAGTTCCTGCCATTTCTCTCCTACCACTAAACAATATTTCTTTCCTGTGCCAGTGCTAGGCTGGCTCTGATTTAGGTGCAGTCTTTTAGGTGCAACTTCTACAACTTTGTGTAGTAGAAGTTGTTCCCCTGAGCCACAGGTCTCCGTGCCTTTAAAGTCTCCTTTTTTTAACATCAGTTTTAAGTCAGTACAGCTGGATCCCTGCCGCTCACCACATCCCGACTCATCATGTGTGTGAAACCAGAAGTGTTTCAAAGGAAGCTGCTGTAGGTGCTTGTGTTGCCTTTCTAGCAATGAAGTTTAGCTTCCCGCTTGTCTCTCCTGTACTTCCCTTTGCTGTTAGTTTCTGTCTTGGCCACGAGTTTTGTCTCAGTTGTTGCTAGCAGCCTGTTCAGCTTTTTGCAGGATTTCCCAGTCTGGTGGTGTGCAAGGAAGTCTGCAGCTGCTACTACTTGAAATGAGCAAGTCTCTTGCTGTTCCTGCTGCCTTCACCACCACACAGGGTAGCTGAGGTGTCCCCAGGGAAAAGTCAGGCTCCTTGGCCAGCTGGATTGCCCTCTTTGGCCACTGCTTAGCTCCCATTCTTTCATGAGACCTACAGACCTTGAAACCAGCGCTGTGGAAAAGGGCAGGCATGGGCTGTAGCTGGAAATGGTTAGTTTTCCTTCTTTGCATGTGGTTAGTTGTCCAGGTTGACAGCTTTGGCCTCCGTATTCTGTACTGGGATCTTGAAGGTCCTAGGCTAAGCTGTCTTGGTGCTGTGTTGGGCCCACTGTAGGTAGTGGCTGTCTGTCCTGCTGTCTGCCTGCTTTTTTGGGCAGCTCCAACCTCCCACCCCATCCCTTTTGAGCTACCGCTGCCCCTGACAGTCACATCCCCCAGCGGGCTGCGTTCAGGAAGGCGACGCTCCGCTTGGAGTGCTAGCCTGGACCTCAAAGTCTGCAGCGCTGGGCTTGCGCAGATTCCCCCTGCGGCTGTACAGAGCACGTAGGATATTTACCTGCCCAGAAGGTTCGTCAGCGTGTCAGAGTGTGGAGGTTTCAGCCGGGTAGCTGGGGGCAGCCCAGCAGCGCCAAGCTGGGCGGCCATAACCTGTAGCAGGGTGCTTCACTGCTCAACATATGCTAACACGTGCTGCCTGCTTCAGCCTCGCGGGTGCGTGGGTGACCCCAGGCAGCTCTGGTTCGGTCCCCTCGGCACCACGGCAAGGGCTTGGGTGTGGGGAGCACCCATGTCTTTTGGGGAAGAAAGGGGAAGAGAGGTCGTGCAGAACTGAATTTTGTGAGCGCCGCCGGGACCCAAGATGCACTCGCAGAGTCGACCCTGGTGTGGAAAAAAGACAGGGACCCAAGAGTAACGGGGGGGATGGGGAGGAAAGACGCAAAAGGAGAAGCAGAAGTGTGTGCAAAGCAGCTCGGGCTGGGGAGCCGATGGCTTAGAGCGTTTCCTGTTCCCGGAGCTGCGCGCGCCCGGCTGCGCGCCGGCTTGCGCCTGCCGGTGCCCAACAGCACCGCGCCGGGGGCCAGAGACCGAGGCACGTCTCCAGAAGCAGGTGGATGGAGAGGGTCTGAATGGACTGACAGTAGACGGCCGGGGAGATACATGGCCAGCTCCCGAGAGGCGCAGAAACAGCTTGGTGTTGGGTGCTCCAGCAAAGACTTCCGACTTCCCTTTTCTCGCCAGCGCAAACTGATTTTTCCTCTGCGTTTTTTGAGTTGCTTGGGTGGTAGCCGCTTGGCCCCTTCTCCTTTCGCCCTCCACGATGGTCAGGTAAGAGGGGCTGAGGAGCGCTTGGGCGTAAGGAGGGAGACAAGGAAAGTAGGACAGGTCAGAGGGGAGGATCATCCTGGAAGCCGTACCTCAATGGAAACCTTTCATAGGCTGGGGGAGGTATCGGGGAGGAAGGGATGCTGCTGCTGGCGGTCACCCATGTGGGTATCTCTAGGGATGCTGACCAGGGACCATTCTTCACTGTACGAGCCTCCACAATGGTGCCTGACCTTTTTTATTCACTTAGTCTTGTTTTTGTCTCGTCTGCTAGGTGGTTTCACCGTGACCTGAGTGGGCTGGAAGCTGAAGCCTTACTGAAAGGACGAGGTGTCCATGGGAGCTTTCTGGCCAGACCCAGTCGGAAGAATCAGGGGGATTTTTCTCTTTCAGTCCGGTAAGTAACTTGGACCCCAACTTCTGTCTTTCCAGATTTACATACGCAGAATGCTTAGATCCTCAGGTGTCCTGCGGTGTCTTCTTCATCCTGGCCTTATTCTTTTGAGTTCTTTCCAAGCTGTAAAAGTACTTGAGCTTCCCAGCATCTTCTAGACCCTCCTTCAGGTTGCCCCAGGAGCTCCTCTTTCTAGTCATCTCCTTTCACTGGGATGGTTTGCTGTGGTTCCATGGCAGGAGGTAACGCAGAACATTTTCTGCCTCTTTTCCAACTGCCTCACTGGACTGCTCTGTGCATCATCCCACAGGGTTGGTGATCAGGTAACCCACATCCGCATCCAGAATACTGGGGATTTCTATGACCTGTATGGAGGGGAGAAGTTTGCCACTTTATCAGAACTGGTGGAGTACTACACACAGCAACAGGGCTCGCTGCAGGACAAAGATGGAACCATCATCGACTTGCGATACCCGCTCAACTGTTCTGACCCCACTACAGAGAGGTACGGCGAAAGCAAAGCAGCCGGTGTGTCCGTGATGAGACCTCCTCTGTGTTTCGTGGCCTTCCTTCTGCCCTGCCTGCATCCCCGGGGCAAACCCTGCAAAAAGCGTCTCCTGCCTCCCGTGGCCTCCCATGCTCCCGTGGGGGCAGCATCCCCAGGAATAGGTGGACATACCTTGACCCATCACAGCAGACCTAACAGGGCTCTATTTCTACTTCTGGTTTCCTGTTGCCTTCGCTATTTATATACTGTTCCTAAAAGCAAAGGTTGTGGCATTCGCTATGGTCTGCAGCGGTCCGTGGAGTGGCATGTGGAAGCCCTCAGCCCTGCCCCAAACCTCCTCGGTTAGTCTGGGCCCGGGTGACTCATGCAGCTGAGAGCAGGACCATGTTCCCCTGCTATTCCTAGCCTGCTTAGTCTCCTTCCTGCCCCCGCTTTGCATGCGTCTCTGACACCAAGTTCCTAAATCAAATCAGGTGGTTTTGCCCTCGCTTTGTGCTTTCGGGCTCTTTGATGCAGCTCGGGGAACAGTCCCGCCGCGCGCGCTCTGGGGCGGACAGGTCCTCCTCGGGCACCTGCAGATGGGGAGCAAAGATGCCCTGGGCGAATTCGCCCGCGTTCTGCCCCGTTTGCTCCGGGGTCGGGCTGCAGAGAGGGGCCAGCGCCCGCCTGCCTGCTGTCCTCTCCGCTCAAGGCCGTTGGGTTGTGGCCCTGCAGTTTCCTCCCTTCCTCCCTGCGGTTGGAAACTTCTGCCCCCCCCCAGGCTCTTACGAAAGCTCCTCGCACTCTCTCCCCAAGTGATTTTCCATCACGTGGCTTTGAAGAGCTGGGCTCTACTGGGGGGGGAACGGGACCCATTAACCCCTTCCTACCTGTGGAGGGGAGGCCCGGAGACCTCTTCGATGAGCAGGAGGGGTCAACCATTCCCTGGGGGGCATCGGAGCACTGGCACGTGGTGGCCGAACGCTTCTGTGGGAGGAGGTTCGGAAATTAGTGACTGCTGTGCAATGAAAGTCACCGGCTACTTCTTGCAGCGCGTGAGGTGAGGATCAGGAGAAGTTACTTGCCAAGGCACAATGTCTGCCACGTCTTGCTGTCAAAATGGCTCCCAGGTTGTCGTGTAGAGGAACGCGTTGCTCTGGCCAGATGCAGGGGTGAACGAATGCCCCAGCTGCTTCTGCGACTGGGGCATGGCCTCCTGGACGCCATTTCGGTTCTTGGGAACAGATAGCCCTGACAACGTGAAGTTCACCACAGACACCAGTACCACCCCAGACCTCCACTGTTAGCTGCTCTGTGGGCGGCAAACCCGCTCCCACAGCTCCAGCCACACTGGCTGGTCAGCCTGGCCTCGATGGCAGCGTGCAGAGACGTACGGAGCGTGGCTGGTGCTTGCTGCGGTACCTGCAGTGAGCAGGAGCGGGGGGGAGCGTTGCAAGTCAGTCTGATGCAACAGCTACCCGCCTTTGAAATGCTCTTCACTGGGGGGAGATGGCCAAAGCCGGGGGGAGATGCGTCTCCAGCTGCTGAGGCAGCTCTGTGGAAGCGGGACAGAGCTGCAGTGAACGTGGCCTTCTGCATCTCTGCTTGGCAGCTCAGCAGTGCCCCCCGGGACCTTCTGGTGTGGTCCAGAGAGACCGTGGAGCTTGGGACAGGCATTAGGAACTAGAGGATCTGCACAGAGGCAACCGGGGACACCTCTGGAGTTTCT